ATTATAAAGTGTTCACCATTCTGATGTGTAATGAAACAAAAAAGGCAATGTAATGAGTGGTAAACAAAATCACATTGTATCCATCTAGTAAATTTTTAAATTATGACCATTCTTACTTTCTTTTCGTTAAATGTTCTTTCTTTAATGAAACAGTGGTGATAATACACAGTGTTTCTTAATGCCATGTTTTATTTGGAAAACTGTAACACTGGTAATTTAAAATTAGCAACTCCAATTAAACCATTTTTTTTAAAAGATTTTTTTATTGGGGAATGGGGGAGGGGAACAGCGTTGGGAAATTGGGGAAGAGGAACAGAGAAGTTGCTGTCTTTTTTGTTCTTCAGTCTAGTTGTGGAGGACATTGCTTTACTGGCCCATGTTGGTATTGTCATTGAGCTCTTCCCAGGTGAGGCAGATGGGTCACCGACCACTGGACAGCCGCTCATGGTGGCTCTTGGCAGCTCATGCTGGCTGCCGGCCGCTCACAGTCGCTTACAGGAGCCCACTGCAGCTCCACTACAGCCTACGCCATCACCAGTAACTCATGGCAGCCCAGCTCCAGGTCCAGCTGTTGTTCACCATCTTAGCTGTAGAGGGCACAGTGTCACTGGCCCTCATGTGGGATCCGAACCAGGGCCCTGCTGCTCAGAGCTGGCGTCCCAAGCCAGCTCTTAATCAATGCGCGACTCGGCCGGTCCTCCATTTTATTTATTTATTTATTTTTAAAAAGATTTTATTGGGGAATCAGGGAAGGGGAACAGACAAGTTGCTGTCCTTTTGTTCTTCAGCCTAGTTGTGGAGGATGTTGCTTCACTGGCCCATGTTGGTATTGTGGTCATTGCACTCTTCCTGGCTGAGGCAGATCAGTCGCCAGTCATTGAACAGCCGTTCATGGTGGCTCACACTGGCTGCCAGCCACTCACAGTAGCTTACGGAAGCCCACTGGAGCTCTACTGCAGCCTACCCCATCGCTGGCGACTCACTGCAGCCCAGCTCCAGGTCGAGCTGTTGTTCAGCATCTTAGCTCTAGAGGGTGCAGCATCACTGGCCCATGTGGGATCCGAACTGGCGATCCTGCTGCCCAGAGCTCAAACTCCCAAGCCAACTCAACCAACAAGCCACTCGTCTGGTCCCTCGCCCCTCTTTTTTTTTTTTTTTTATCTTCAACATTTCCAAGAACTATTTATCACTGTGCTATTTAAACTATGGACTGAGGAGCTATGCTTTTTTTTTTTTTTTTACTGGTCCATGATATTAAAGAACCAAACTCTCAGAAGTATTAGTGAATTAGAATTCCCTGGAGAGCTTTAAAAAACTGATTCCTTTATGTCTGCATAGCCTTAGTGATTCAGAATTTCTGAGGTAGAGGCTTAGGAATTTGCCTTTTTATAAAACTTTTTAATTGACTTAGAAAAGCATCTAGATTTGGGAGCAACTACCCTAGTCTGGTTTAGCGCACCTGAATATATGTTGGATAACTAAGTGTCAAATGAATGTTAGTACTATTCCTATAAATATACATTTAGGAACATAAACTTTACTTTTTTTCCCAACAATTAAATGCACACATCTTTTTTCCTTTTCTTTTTTTTAAAATTGGGGAATTGGGGCTGGGGAACAGTGTTGGAGAATTGGGGAAAGGGACCAGCCAAGTTGTTGTTCTTCAATCTTCATTGTGGAGGGCGCCAGTCGCCATCTGGCTGCCTGTCTGCAGCTTGTGGTCTCTAAGCTCAAGGTGGTGCTCTGTTCAATCTTAGTTGTGGGTGGGCATAGCCACCATCCCATGCGGGAGTTGAACCAGCAGCCTTGTTGTTAAGAGTGCACGCTCTGTCTACTGAGCCATCTGGGCAGCCGCTCAGCTCAAGGTGCCGAGTTCAATCTTAGTTGCAGGCGGGCGTAGCCCACCATCAAACAGGCCGTCTTGTTGTTAGGAGCACATGCTCTCACTAGCTGAGCGATCCTGCCACGTGTTGGCAGCTCAGCGGCAGCTCAGCTCAGGAGCAGCATCACTGGCCCATGTGGGAATCGAACCGGCGGCCCTGTTGCTCAGAGCTCACGCTCTTAAGCTAACTCTTAACCAACTGAGCCACTCAGCCAGCCTGAAATGCACACATCTTAAGTGTACATGGAAGAGAACTCTTAGGAGAAAGTCTGATTCTTAAGATAAAAAAAAAATGGGTTACTTTAGGACCTTCTATTTTCATGCCCTAAAGGTGATAAAATGAAAACACAGTATGCTTCAAATGACTTGGTAACTAACATGAGCATATTTAGGATGAAAAATTATTGTTTGAGAATTGCAAGACTAGGTCTAGGTATGGGTCTGTCAGTGACACATAATAAAAATAGGGTAACATTTTAGAGTCAAGAACATTGATGAACAGGGCAATAAACTCTTATTAATGATCCTTTCGTGACCTGAAAATGCAAATAAACTTCTTTCAGGACCTAACTAATTTTTTATTGCAAACCCCCTAAATCATTTTTGTATATTTCCTTGTCGCATCCCATGATATTAGAGCTCAGTCTTGAATAGACAGTCCCAAAAGCATGGATAGTGAAGCCATTGCCCTGAACTCAGGTAATTTCATTTGCTTTTCTCTCAGCATTTAGATTTATAGGAATTTAGAGATCCCATAGTTCAAGTCCCTGGCTTTGTGGGCAGGGAAACAGGCCCCAGAGGGACTATAGAACTCACCCAAGACTCTACAACTGAATTGGGACTTGCGCAGTCATTTGATATTGTTTCCACACATACTTTCATAGAAACTGCACTTGGTAACATGTTGCTTCACTCGCCTTTCACCCTTTAATGTTTCCTAATGATTTTCACTGTTGTACATTCATTCTTCATGGAATTACACAAATTGGTGAAGTGAGACAGGTTTGTAATATTCGCACTTGACAGAGAAGGAAAGGGAGCCCAAATGATGAAGGGCTTACCCATAGTTACACAGCTGTGCTAATCAGCTCCAGCTACCCTAACGGATTCCTACAGGCGGGGTGGCTTAAACAACAGGAATTTATTTCTCACAGTTGTGGAAGCTGGGAAGTCCAAGATCATGGTGCTGGATTTGGTTCTTTGATGAGAGCTCTCTTCTTGGCCTCCTTCTCACTATGTCTTCACATGAGGGTGAGGAGGTTGGGGGGAGGGTGAGAAAAAGAAGCAAGCTCTCTGGTCTCTCTCTTTCTTTTTTAAACTAAAGTTTATTGGGGTGACAATTGTTAGTAAAGTTACATAGGTTTCAGGTGTGCAATTCTGTAATACATCATCTATATATCACATTGTGTGTTCACCACCCAGAGTCAGTTCTTTTTCCATCACCATATATTTGATCCCTTTTACCCTTCCCTTCCCCCCCTTCTTGTCTGTTTTATAAGGACACTAATCCCGTCATGAGGGCCCCACCCTCAGGACCTTATCTAATTCTAATTTCCTCCCAAAAGCCCCATCTCCAAATACCATCACAGTAGGGGTTAGGGCTTCAACATATATAAACTTTGTGGGAGGGGGGTGGGGCAGGGAACGGGACATAATTCAATCCATGGCAACATTTACAGAACTAGGACCAGAACCCAGCATAACTGGTTTCACTGACACTGCACTATGACATACTGAAGTCTTGCCAGTGGCATAAGAGAGGTATGGAAATAACCAGGGGAGCAAGGGCTATAATGGGAAACAGCACTCTGGGGATTCAGGAGAGGATGACATTACTTCCAACTGAGCAGAGAAAATGCAAATGCTTTCAACAGGTAGATGTTGGAGAGCGAACATTGCAGGCCTAGGAAAGGCTCCATGATGAAAAGGTGCAGGTTGTCGTTGGGGAATGGGGCAGAGCCTGTTTAACCACCAGGAGCTGTGCACGTCATGCAATAAGGCTGGAAAATCCAGCGTTCTTCTCATTGCTCCACTGTTTAATCTGTGGACACCATCTCTTTCATTTTACTGTTTCCTGAGGTAGAGACCTTGTTCTCTATTTATTTGATTGAACCTAAAAAGACTAGCAAGGACTCTACGGAGGGTGGGATATAAATCACATGGCTATTGAAAGAAAACAAAGCCGTGGCGAGGCCGTGCCAGTTGTGAAATAGGGCAGCAGAACGTTTTCCCAGTTGAAGTGGAAATGCAGTAAAACAAGAAGGTACAGAGAAGCAGGTCTCTTGCTAGTGATCTTAAACCTGAAGAAGAAAGGAAAACGATCTTTTCCTATAACACTGGGTTTTAAGGTCAAACGTGGTCCTTGCACCACTGGTCTCCAGTGGGAGGCAGCTAAATCTGGCTCGAGTGGCCGCTGGGAAGGAAGGGTAAGGATAGGGCCTAAGGAACAGAGGTCAAAAGCGTGGAAAACACCGCCTGGCACAGCGGCAAGGAAAGGGCGAAGCCGGCTCCCGGCTAGCCGCGGGCTGGAAAGGGGCGCGCCCTGCGCAGGGGTCGGGAGAGGAGGAAACCGCCTCTTTTACACTTGTCCTGCTTCGGGGGAGTGCCTTCGGTAAACCTGCCAGGACTGGGAAAAATTCATCCAGTTATTTTTAATCCTGTTTTTAATAAAGCCATTTTTCAGAACCAAAAAGAGGGAGGTACCCAAGAAATCTGAAAAATACAGCGCAGTGTGGGGGGTAGCGAGCCGTGTCCATATCACAAGGCTGCAGGCAGACTGACTAGCGCAGCGCGGACCGATAACCGCACGGGCGCTGAAGGTTGGAGCGAGCCCCACATCAAGGCCCAGCCGGGCGGCAGAGCCCACCCCGCGCACACCCCTGCGCTTTACAGACTAGGGTCGGCGGGGGGCGGGGCCATCAGCAGCCTGGGGGCGGGGCCTGGCGGGGGCGCGCGGCTGGGGAGGGCGGGAGGTGCGGCGTATTTGGTGCCCTAATTGGGTCTGAGCTGAACAAGGGCGGTGTCTTGGTGCAGTTCTTCGGGACGACATTGGGCGGTGGAGAAGAAGGGCGTGGTTTTGTGAAGTCAGTTCCGGTTGGTGTAAAACCCCCGGGGCGGAGGCGAACGGGCTTCAGACGCTTCGGGGTTGCGGTGGGAAAGCTCATAAGTACCTGTGTGTGAGCGTGAGAGCGGAGCGTCAGAGCTACCCGGCGAAGGATGGCGGTGACCGGGACCGCGGCCACGGGCAGGCTCCTGGTCCTGCTGCTGCTCGGGCTTACGGTACCCGCCGCGGCACTGGCCGGCTACATCGAGGTGGGAGCGGGCGAACGCCCGAGCGTAGTCTCCTTTCCCGCCGTGGGAGCGCGGCCTGCGGGGAGGCGGGCGGACCGCGGGGTCCAGGACTGGCCGGGCTCGGGGTGGGCATGTTGGGGGAGGTGGTGGTCCGGCGCTGCGGCGGGCCTGGCGCGCCTCCCCCCGCCCCTGCTTGGCGCAGTGCTTAGCGCTGGAGGTCGGGCTGCCTCCGCCGCCGCAGAGGCCAAATGAAAGGCATCGGGGCTGCGGGGGGCGGCGGACCGCCCCGGCGGTCCCAGCCCCCATGCCTCCCGTGGCGCCGCCACCTCCTCGGGGGGACCCCGCGCGGTCCAGAAGCCCATCGCGCCCTCCCCCGGGACTATGCGAACCTTGGTCCGCAGCCCCGCACCTCGGGGGTAGCCCGGGGCTGAGGGGGCAGCGAGCTCCCCCGGACGGTGGTGGGCTTTTCCCCGGGAAGCGGCAGATGCAGCCTTTGTTGGCGAGGTGGGCTCCGCTGTAGGTTGCAGCTTCCCGGGTTGGCCCTTGGAAGTGCGGCGGTGCCGAGCGAGCGCGCTTGGGTTGCACGGTGAGAACGCTCCTGCACCGGCCGCGGGTGTGTCTGCTTCCTGCGCGCCTGTCTCCTTCTCCAGGAGGTCCACCGCGCCGGCACCAGGCCTTGGAGAGGAATTGTTAAATATAGCTGTTTGCCTGAGTCTAATAAACAAGGGGAAACACCTCCCTGGTGTCCGCGTTGCTCCCTTTTAGAGTGAGTTAACGCAAGTAAGGAAGGTAAAAACGCCTTTGTGTAATACTACTTTTTTTGGGTGTAAGAATTTAAGTGATTCTGCATCTGATAACCCTGTAAACATCTTTGTGCTGCGAAGTGGTTAAGTGACCTGGATTCATGGACGATTCTCTGGAGTTGAGGCCGCGGGAACAGGCGGGTCGCTGAGGTCCGTGTGGGTTCTGCGGCGTATCTGGACGCCGCCACTTCACAGAAACCTTTCTGTTTCTTGGTAGACCAGGGTCTTTGTTTTTACCTGCCGCCTCGAAATAGCGCTTGAACTGTTGGACTGGAATGTGGAATGTCGTTTACTTCTTTTCCCTCTCTCCTATTTTTAAAATTACAATTGATTTCTGCGTAGTGAGCTAATTTCAGAGAGATATGAGGCTGGATTTGATTACATAGCCATTGACAGAACTTTTAAATAAAAACCCCCAAGTTTGAATGTGTTCTTCTACAGAATGTTTAAATATTTCCAC